GGCGGAGCTTGTCACAAAGACCGCGAAATTTTCCTTGAACGGCGTTGTCGCGACGGGATTGTGTCTCCTTTGGATTCGCAGTCCGACTCATGAATCCCAAATGATCAACACCACAGCGTGTCACTTCAGTGTTGGAGCCAAAATCCCGAGGGGCAAGTCCCATCGGGCCCACATCCATGGATGTCGTTTTGGTTTCGGAGGAACCAACTGCGAGCCCCATCGGGACGGTCCGGAGTCCATCTCCACCCGCGGCTTCATCTCACAATCCTATTGGGCGTCCGTCGAAGTCTCGGATGGCTCTGTTCCGCAACCCTTCATCAAGTAACTGATGGTGCCTATCGATGGAGATGTGGGATTGAGGCGCTGAAAAAATCAGAAATATGCGGCTACAGGCCAGACTCGACTCCGGCGAAGTGGTCAGCATCTCTGACCGCAGCGACGCCGAGGACGGCAAGCCCCGCTCTTCACGATGTTCCACCGAGGCGGGTCCATTGTCAACACAACAGGCAGGGGTTGCATACCTATGCCACTGGAATCAATACACAGCCGCTAGGTGGACTTGGACGGGATGAGATTCGCCGCGCGCTATCATGCCATGAAGTCATACTTGCTATCTTTGGATTCCCTTGGCACAGGTGAGCAATATGGGCATCGGATGAGCATCTTGGACAAACATGTCCCAGTTACTACAATCGGCAGCTCGGAGAGTCGGCGAGACTACCATTGTCTTACAATTGATAGCACACAATGTCCAAGAGAGGAAATGCCTTGACCGGACGAGGAAGCAGATGGGGTTGGGAGTCTAGACCTGTCGGTGCCAGTGGACCAAGAGAGACATCTCGATATGTCGGATCATTTCTTGCAGCACGGTACTTTTAGACAAGGGCTCTGCACTCAAGGAAGTTACTTTGCAGTGTCAATGTCGGGATGTCTGAAGCCGCTGCTATTGTGCTTGTTGGTGGAATGCGGACCGGAGAGGCGAATACTAGTGAGGAAGGCTTCATAAGAATGGTGGGGTGTTTGAAGCCTTTCCGAATTTTCGCACGATTAAACTTCCGACTATCACCACTTTACATGCCGACACCTCATCCACTTTGGAAGCAGGTGTGCACGTACAGAAGTGCTTTATTAAGGCAATATGAGTGCTAAATCGGCACATTCAACGTATTCCGGGTAGTATTTGGCTCATCAAACCCCCTGGAACAAACGCACATTGACTTACATTTTGCATCAGCAATACGGCGAAGACAAACCACAAATATTCTACAGCAGAGTTGGAGACGGCTCTGGCAAAGCGCAGGCAGTTTATGTTCGAAAGCCAGACACCCTCTTCCGACGGCAGTATGCATCGAGTCTCCTACCAGCACGACGACGTTCTGTCCGTCAAGAATCAGAACATGTTGAGAGCAGATGCTGCGGTTAAGGCGTTCGACACAAAGTTCAAAGGGAAGGGTTATTGAGCGCCTTGAGAGACCGATAAGACTCATTTACAACTTTGCAAATTAATATGGCTGGGGAAGCTAGTGACGGGTCAATTGAATCATCAGGAATCTTTTGCGTATTCCCTAGGTGAAGGGTCCTCGCAGTGGTGACTGCATTGGAGGATCTGACGGAGAAGGATTGGGCAACGTGCAGCAAGAACATTTGCTAGATGGTATTGCACTTGTCGGCACGAGATGTGGATACTCGATCGTTTCCATGATAGGGAGCGCCCGAGCCGACACAGCATCCGTATGATCAAATGTATAGTCCGATTGTTGCCGTCTCGTAACCTATTTGCGATGGAGGCAGACGCCTAAAAGGTTTTACAGATGTTTGTGAAGCCAATGGCTCCAGCCATGTGTAGAAAAAACCAGTCTCCGGCCTTATTTAACAGGCTTTCGTTCGGTATGAAGTCGATAATTTGCCGATAGCTTCCCACACGCCCGGAAAAGTTCAGGGGCGTTGTCCGTTCATCTGCCCCATGATTCTTGACATCTCGGCACTGACTCTCGCCTGGTGTTGAGCCGTAGTGACACGGCTATCGGTGGTCTGGTAAGAGATGTGATACATGTTGCTATTTTGAGACGTTGGTTGATTTGCGTATGTTACTAGTCGCTGCTCTCTCAGAGTGCTCTGGGAGTCAGTTGACGTGTGCTTGGACGTGAATATTGACGAACTGTGACTGTAATTATGATCGGTAAGTCAGTGTAAAGTAATTGTCTCTGGCAGATGGTTTATGTACCCGGAGCGAACTGATTCAGCAGAGCCCATGATGCCCACTGGGACTTGCGCTATGGCTTGTGATATCGGTAGAGAGTATTGAACTTGAGCTAAAATGGTAAAACCAATCCGGCGTTTTCGAAACACAATGGTAGTTTCTTCATTCGAATCCGAAGGAATTGTGAGATGGTATTGTCTAATCATATGAGATGAACCTAAGACCCTCTCCCAGATGTTTTATCCACGAGCTGTTGCAATATTCTTAAAACTGCGGACTAGTTTGCCAAATGCCGAGCCCTTCTCTCGCAAATGTCCATACCCCCCTGATGCATATCGGGGCCCATCTCTTCTCAATCGAGACCGCTCGCTCATTACCGCGAAATTTCCAACTTTGTTCATTTGAACTGTTGTAGCTGAAGGCTGCGATAGGCAATCGCCGGTAGTGCCGCTGCCTTGCCGCCTGGCGGTGCGGGAATCTTGCTACGGCGGCCGGATGTGCGCCTAGTCAGTGTGGGTGTAGATGCAACAAGATCATCGAGATGCGAAGAGGTAAGCACGCCACCTTTGGGTCAGTAGTAGTAATCAACAGAAGTATTGTAGATATCGTTTTGATACGTTGTATCGAAAAGCAATAGACATATTCTATAATATGATGCATGGAAGGCAGTACTCAGTAGCCTATTGCAGAAGCTTGTTGCAGAAGGGTGACCAGAAGTTGTGTATATGGCGATGAGATAACGTACTTAATCGGAATATGATCACAGCAGCAACATGTGAATGCAAAACGATCGGGCTACTGAATGAAATGCGAGGATCGGACTGTGGGCCCGATGCCGGTCCGCCGGGTCCGGCCCGGTCAGCAACCCGAAGAGGCCCGGACTTCCGGAACCAGGCTGGACAACGGGCTCTAGAGTGACGGTCTGAGTCGGATTGACTTTTCCAGCGATCAGACGTAGTCTTGTTGTCTCTCTGTAACCAGAGCTCTTCATACTCAAGTGAGTCCATCGTGAGCTGCCCGCACAAGAGCAGCGTCAACATGGCGATTCGGGTGGAGCTTTGCTGAGCCTAACTTTAGTTCCAGCATTGCTCACCCCGGCGTGAAAACAGGAAACTCAGTGTGGCTTCGTTCATCGTCACCAGTCTGATGGGCCGCCCAAAAGCCGCGGACCATAACGGCCAAGGCTAGATGGAGATGCCGGCATGATCAGCACGCACTGGTCAGTGGGAGAATGACGCTCGGTGCAAGCGATTGTCGTCACACCGCCCGTCGATAAAAGGTGAAAGTGTAAGAAATCCGCATCATGTCGGGCCTTATCATGACAGTAGGCAGAACAAGGCGTGCAGTTGCCTGCATGCAGTGTAACGCAACGGAGGGGTACATTGCGTGTAGGCACAACGCCTGGTTGCCTCGCCGATAGCTGTCATTTTCCGGTCGCATGTTGACCAAGACACGCGGAGTCGGTGGGGAGGAAGTGCTGCTGTGAGAAAATGGTTTCTAACCACTCAAATGTCAGTATTTCTGACCACTCAAATGGAGGAGATTCGGACCACCCAGAGACCCTTCGTTTCTGGCCAATCAAGTTGAAGTGATTCGAAAAGAGCAGCCTGAAGCCGCCCGACTGTCGACGGTTCGAAGAGATCTTGAGGTTTGCATGGTTGAATGAAGGTGCGAGGTGGTTTTGCAAGCGGAACGATCTTTGGGACATCGATCAGTTATCGATGAACACTGCGACTTGTCCTCTACGTTGTGGTCGACATCGATGTTGCGGATTTACTCGCATGGCGTTCTAGAAAGTATCAGTAGACGGCCTTGTCTGTACGTGGAATTGAAAACCTACACAATATGAAAGGGAGCAGGAAAGGCCGTGAGGCCGTGAGGGAGGAAGGTTGGGCATGGCTTACACTTGGTGCGGAAGTTCGGGTTGTGATGAAAGCATCACCACGTCCCATGCGCAAGGAGGTTAAATGACATTGACATTTATAGGGCGATGTAATTACAGACAAAGAAAGTTCCCTTAAGGCAAAGCGAACCGCGCACTCGCGCGCGGACGCATGCAGCCCGCCTCATGCAACAACGCCTTGGCTGCGAGGGGCGTGTCGCATTTCCATGGAGGACGATTCACCCAATAACACCGTCCCGTTTTTTTTTTTTTTTTTTTTTCTCATGGCCGACGACGCGCGCACTTGGCCTAATTCGACGACATTAGGTCTCATCCACGCATGGGTGCTAGCACCGGTCGCGCACGTATCAGAGCCAATGGGCGCTGAAAGGACAGCCATCGTTTCGTTGGAACCCCCTGGAGGTAAAGACCAGCACAGCCTACATAGGCATCCACACATCCTTCCGCTGTGCCTGCAACCTGTCAGCTCAAGTTGTGGGCAAACCTGGGTGGCGAAAACAACACATCCATCCGCCTGTGCTGATAATGTACCTTCCTCGCTGATTGGACAATTGTTTGCGACAACCGCAACTGCCGAATAGGTATCTTATCTCCTAAGGTAGATATATTTAAGTACGTTGTGATTGTCACCTCCAACATGTTGAGGTGTTATTCCAATTACCTTAGCGCCGGTAGCAGTAAGGTTCATTTCATGCCACCCTTTGCAATTATTTGGAGCGACCTTATGATCCATCCAAACTCATGGCTCAGGAATATCCACTGTGAATTCAACGTTACTAAAAATGACACCAATACTCTTATCATTCATGAGTTCCCCCAAAGCAACCACCAGCTTCTCAGCTCCTTCCGAAGTAGTTTGGTGATGGAATACAATCCTTCCGTTCGGAAAGACCGTTATCAAATGCTTGGCGCAGTAGTCCACAAACGCGGCAGCCGGAATCTCGATAGGAACCATTTGGCACGCTCAATGAATTGCTTGCTTCCGAGGATAACGCTTCCCATGGGTGCACCGATGCCCTGTGCCAGGCAGATGGACAAGCTGTCGAAGCAAGCTGCGTATGCCTTGAGATCAACACCTTCGCCGATGACGCCGTCAAACAAGCGAGCGGCGTCGAGATGCATTGCCACTGGCTTCTGTCCTTCTGGTACGGGAAAGGATCGCACGTATTCCGAGATGGCCTGGGCGTCTTTGAGGGGGAGAGTCGTACCACTGAGTGTATTTTCCAGCGACACCACACGCGTTGGAGGGAAATGGACTGAGGACGTCAAATTTTAGACATCCTAACCTTGATTTTGAGTATCCGAATGAAGCTCACTGTTTCCATCCGCAATCATGTTTGCTTTGACATCGTCGAGAGTCATGTGGACTCCATTCTTGGGATGAACCGTGGTGGCAGACGCCTGAGACATGACTGGCAGGGCGCAAGACTCCCATCAATGGACGTGACCACGGTAGTCCAGAAGTACGGTATGAGGCGGCTGGCTAAGATGGGTTCGGAGGCAGATCTGGTTGCCTTGAGTGCCCCAAACTGCCCAGAGAGCGGCTTCCTTGCCAGTCAACTCCATCAGCCTAGCCTCGAGAGCCTTGACGGATGGGTCACCGTGAACATCGTCGATATCATCGCTCACCGTTGCCTCCAGGATAGATAGCCTTTGATGTATCCTAGGTCAGTCGAAAGATTCCATAAAGTTCTACGTAGGCGCCAGGGATACGAAAGATCTGCCATACCTGCACCATGTCTGGCGTTGGAACCGTGACGACATCAGAGCGGAAGTCTCTCGATGCTTTGGCGGCTGCCGCCTTCCACTTGGTCATTATCGCAGGGGAGAAGGCCATGAGCTCAGCATTCTTGGAAGAAGGCATGTTTGTTGGTTGGGACAGGAGGCAGGAGCTTTGTGTTGATTGTTTATAAGTGAAACGGGGTGTCAGGCGCCTCTGTCCTGGTCGATGGCCAGGTATTCCTAGACAATGGAACTCTAAGTATGTGGGAGAATGCAACCGAGCCTTCTTTTCGAGTATGACACTATCAATTTCAGTACTGAGACATTCGGGCATGTTGAACGCCGGGGTCGTTGTTTCTAGTGCAGCATCGACGCTGCTGAGAATTTCTCGAGTTTGGTATCTGATGCTGCTAGGGTTCCCCACGGGGATTACACATTGCGACGAACATCTCCACCTACCCCGCGTTTCCTATGCATTGAATCATGAATCTACCAGTAGTAGCGGGCTCCATTGAGAGAAGTTGCCCGAGGCAAACTGCAGGTTCCCTAGGAACCGGTCGGAGACTTCGTCCAGCGTGGCTGATTTGCTTCGATTTACGTACAGCCGTAAATAGACTGACAACAAGAGGTCACTCAAGTAGCGAGTCGCCGAAGCAGCGGAGAGACACTAGTCCGCAACTGCGGCTCCACGGCGGCGCAAGTAGACGGAGAACGTTGTGGTCTCGTCAGCTCCGATATTCACAATCACGTGTGTTCCCTCATATCAGATCGTCGCAAATGACCGTCTAATTAAACTCGGAAGTGATTTTGACTTCGTCATTACGCAAATTAAAGTCTATTTGAAAAAGACCACATCAATGACGATGAGACGAACGGAATATGATTTCGGAGCATTACCACGAGACAGGCTCTGTCATGCTAGACACTAATGAGAATCGACATTTGAAGAAGTGTCGTGATGAGAGAAGCCGGCGGTATGCGGTCAAGGAGGGAGATCGTTATGTCGCACGAAACTGACCATTGGCTCAAGAAGCTCTACACCGACTTTCAGACGGACTTGAGAGGACTCAGGTCCCTTCGAAACAGTCTTGGAGGCTGGGCGAACCACTAAAGTAAAGTAATTGGAAATTCCAGAAGCCTGGGGAAACACAGTGAGTAAACGGTATGAATGCCATGCACCGGTGTAGAGTTGAATGGCCAGGGAGGGGCACTGATGCATCGGTCGCTCCCGCTTCGTTCCGGAGATCGGAGATTCGGCTCCTCCCTTTCTCCTTGTTGTCACGACATCCCAGAATTCCAATGTGGGGACACCTGATTTCAATAGAAGACGGTGATGCGCCCCGACAATTGGAGAACTGGCGATACGAGCTATTACATGCCAAGCACTGCGGCCGGTGGATATCGTGGGATGCAAGGTCCTGATGCCGTGATACCGCGATGCCGGCGGAGCGGAATTTGCCAAGATCCGAGGACTGCCATCTGCGTGCGACATAGCATACGGGCAACACTGTCCAAGACCAGTGAAAGGGGCACAAGAAATCTATATCTGCAATTTTTGCCGGTTCTTTAGACTTTTCATCATCGTTACCTAGTTATTTTATGCTTTCTCGTCCGACCCAAACGCCATGGGAATCAAGATCATCATTGTAGGCGGCAGTATCGCTGGCTTGTCTCTTGCCAACATGCTTGAGAAGTTCGACATCGATTACACAATTCTCGAGGCGTACTCTCAAATTGCACCCCAAGTCGGAGCCAGTATCGGCTTGCTTCCCAACGGCCTGCGCATTCTAGACCAATTGGGCTGCTATGAGCGACTCCGCGAGGCTGCTGGGAACTACTACCACAGGGTGGTCTTCCGCGACGCTAAGGGGAAACCTATTTCCTCAAACCCCGGCCCAACCATCTCTGAAAGAATGGAGAAACAGTTGGTCAATTCCTTCCAGGCGTCGATACTCATGATACTGACAGACAAAGTGCCGGATACGCATCCTTGTGGGTGGACAGACAGATGCTGCTGCAGATTTTGTATGACAACTTGAAGCAAAAGGACAAAGTCCTCACCAACAAGCGCGTCGTCCATGTGGAAACCAGCTCTACTGGAGTTGTGGTGAAAACGGAAGATGGATCGACATATGCTGGCGATATCTTGGTCGGCGGCGACGGAGTTCACAGCAAGGTACGGCAAGAGATGTGGCGGATAGCGAGTGTCTCTGATCCAACCGCTTTTCCGCCCGAAGAGAGATCGAGTAAGTGCAGAAAGACTTTCACAACATTGCCACTAATCCAGGTCTTGCGAAGAGAGACATACTAACAAGTCCTCACAGTCGTACAATCGAGCATGAAGTGCATCTTTGGAATCTCCAAACAACCAGCAAACTTCCCACCTGGGGCCACTCAACAGTCTTCCTTCTTCCAAGGGCATCTGTACCTGGTCATATCTGCACCGGGCGGTCGAGTTTATTGGTTCCTGTTTCATGAATTAGATGGGACCAAGCATGGAAAAGACATCCCGAAGTTTTCTAAGGACGACGAACTGCTCCTCGCGACTCAATATCGAGACGACCACATCACGGAAGACATGACGTTCGGGGACCTCTACGACAACCGCATCAAGTCTACATTGGTCCCATTAGAAGAGCACGTCTTCAGGAGGTGGCACTTCCAGCGAATTTTGATCATCGGAGATGCGGCAACCAAAGTATTGCGACCCACCCACAATGAGCACATGTACTTTGTCGTGGAAACACGTGCTGACAACGTTTTCCAGGTCCATCCGATTGCTGCCCAAGGAGGAAATGGCGCGATTGAAGCGGCAGCGAACCTTGTCAACGCCATCACGCGCACCGAAATTCCATCCTCTCCAGACCTGCGACTCGAGTTTATCGAGAAGGCGCTCGGTGAAGTATGCGCGATTCGATACGAACGAGCCTCGAGCATGATGAAGAAGGGTCGTCGCGATGGCTCCTTTCTTTGCCAGCAGCCGCCATTTTCAAGTCTTCTTATTCATTATGTTTTGCCCTGGCTCGGGGATGACATATTTTTCAAAGAGGTTCTGAAGCAATCCCTCGCTGGCCCACGCATCGAAAAGCTCCCTGCCCCAGAAAGACCTCATACGACACCTTATAATGATGAGCTTCCTCGGACTTCTGCTGAGTCTTCTTTGGTTCATTTGGACGACCGGAACGCTCGCAGTCGTCACGCTTGGCATGGTCGTGCACCTCGCCCAGAACACTGGACGGTTGGCATGGATGGCGAGAAGCCGCTAACGTGACTCCTGCACTGGATGTTCTCCCTATGACCCGGCATCTTGGAAGCTTGATGTGTCTTGCTCAACTTTGGCTGATTCCAATACCTACCTGTTTTTCTCATCTTTCACCTTTGCTACTAGATTTATCAATAGCCAGTCCATCAACCAAGCTAGTTTTGCTTGTATGAATGTAGATGTGTTTCACCGAGCCGTCCCCGAACCAATATGTATTTCGAGCTCTGTTTGTCAATTTTCTTAATCTAGAGCATCATCTGTGCAATTTTGTCGGCTGCAAGAATCCCACTCTCTATACCCGGGCGCTGGTAAGAGATATCACACCATTGGCGGAGGTGTCTCAACCCAGAAACCTATGAGCAACAAGTTCAACAGTATCTAATACCGAATCCAATAGCTCTATAAGTGACTCATTTCGAAATAAGTCACACCCGGCGACGGCCCTCTCTTCGCTCACGTGCCTCTGCTTTCGCCTTCTCTAAAGTCCGAAGAATACCCATGAACTTAAAAGTCTTCGGAGCTGATTCAGGCACAGGCCTTGAGTTGCGCTCAAAGACTAGATCACGACTAACTCGGACTATGAGATATTCGTCGCTGATGAACTGGACCACAAGTTGACGGTCGTCCTGATACAACTGTAGTGCGTGCTTCTTTCGGTTTGGGCGTGTGGGTGAATGGAAAGGGTGAAACTGGTAGTCCGTTCTCGAATCCAGACAGATTTGACCCTCGACAGTACGCGTATCGGTCCTAGGTTTTTTTCTGTGCGTCAAATCATCATGGCTGTCTGGATGGTAAAATTCGATGTACTTGAACGACGAGAATTCCGTCCAGAACCGTTCGACGTGTTCTGGGCAGTAAAGTCGGAATGTCTTGTGATGAAGCGACCCCATGTGCAGGGTCTCACTTTCCTTCTCAGCCTTTTTCAGAGCTTCGTATGCTGTGCGAACCTCTTCCACTTTGCGCCTCTCGTAGTCCTTCTCGTCCTCTTTTTCTTTCGCAAGCTTTCGAAGATGTTCTTTCCGATCCTCGCGTAGCTCTTTTAGCTCGTAGTACCGATCTGCGTCGGAGCCGTTATACGACCTTTCTGATAAGCTGTCATCTGAGCCCAATACATCTTCGTCGTCCTCTGCTCGATGCTCGCAGTCGTCATCCTTGCAGTCGCAGTCGCGCTCAGCCGTCACCGCTGCTTCGTTGGTGGACCCATGCTTGAAGCTCTCCAGGTCAGAAATATCTTCGTCGAAGTCCTCAGAGATGAAATCAGTGTCGGGGCCAGTGTACAGTGCATTGACTCGGTAGTACCAAGCCGGCAACGGCCGCTCTTCCAACTTTTGGGAGCTGGTCATGGTGGGTGTTGTTGTCGTCGGTGCTGTCGACCTGAAGATGTTGGCGTTGAAAGACGATAATTTTAATTGAGTAAGGACCAAGCTACTGTAGTATCCCCTGTTGGTGCATTGCTGGAGACGGTTCTCGTACCCTCAGCGTTGTAATCCTCCCCACTGCAGTGGATCAGTCACACGCTATTCCTATGCGAAACAGCGCACATTTTCCCCATTCTTATTTTGACCGAACATGGCATGGGCGCCGCATGGCCATGTATCGATTGGCTTCGGCGGTGAAAACACGTGGAACACTACATGGTGTGCCTATTGCTACCAAATCTTGGAGGTGATGAGCTACTGTCGGGGCCGAACCATGGCGGCAGGAAAGATGCTGGAATGGACTGTGACGTTCGTTCCCGGGCGGCTCCCGTTGCCAAAGGTGCCACTGAGGGCCAGGTAAAACGGCGTCGCAGCTCTACCATACACACAATTTAACCAGGAAGGGCACAGGATGAGTGACCAAAGTCCCCTATGGTGGCCAACGAGGAGACACAAATTCAA